CGACTACTACGACTATTATTATTCTTACCACTTCTACCACTACTACTACTACTACTACTACTACTACTACTACTACTACTACTACTACTACTACTACTACTACTACTACTACTACTACTACTACTACTACTACTACTACTACTACTACTACTACTACTACTACTACTACTACTACTACTACTACTACTACGGCGACTTCTACTACTAGGAGTGACAGGCTTGTGTTTGCAGGCCGTTCCCCCCGGGCGACCCCAACGGTTCTTATGGTATTATGGTGCGTTCTTCGGGCCCACCGCAAAAACCAAGGGATTGCCATTGTGTGTGTGGTGGTGTGATGTGGTTTGCTGTTTTTGTTGTTGTTCTTGTTGGTATGTTTTGTTGTTGGTTGCTCCTGCTGCTGTTTGTTATTGCTGTTGGTTGTTATTGTTGTTCCTATTGGTTGTTTTTGTTCGTGCTGTGGGTTGTCATTGTTGTGTGTTTGTGGTGCTACGACGACGACTATTAGTATTAATTCTATCGCAGTCGCAGACTACGACTTCTATCATTACTACTACTACTACTACTACTACTACTACTACTACTACTACTACTACTACTACTACTACTACAGTGCTGCAGTACGACTGTTACAGCCGGTGCGAGAGTGCTAGACTTAGAATTGCACTAATATGGCATATTTTTACGACCGTACTACTGATACATCACTGCGAGTAACATATTATTACATTACCTGGGTACGAAAAATCATTCGAACAATACGATTCTACAACAGCACGCGCGAGAGAACGTGTCCTACACTTCCAGTGCTACGCAGCGGGTTCTATACAGTACTGGCAGTGCTTACTACGGCTACAGCAACACGAGTACAATGCCGCGCTACAACTGAGTCAGTATTACTGCGGCCAGTACTAGAATACTGCTTGTACTGCTTCTCCTTGGGCATTGCAATAATATTATGAGAAACCATCGCTGGAGCACTTCTGCGACTACAATACTGGAGTATCAGTACTACCGCATTGTTACAATAGCACTGGCACTACAGTGATATAGTTCTACCCCGACCGGAATAAAGGGCAATCAATCACATTGCAAAGGTATTCCATTATTAGATTACGATTGCGGTCCACCAACAAGCATAATCATGGACATACCAAGACTACCGTACCAGAATATAGCTTCGATTTCAATACTATTGCATCACTATCATGACTACAGAACTAGGTTGCTGCTATTAAGTATTACTTCTGCAAAACTACAGTGATGATTGGGTACTGCAACCGTGCGTCAGCATTACACCACCCGAGTATCATCACCAGTATTAACGCAGCATGGTTACTACAGTCGTAGGCTTTTGGGTGCCACCATTGCAGTACACGAGCTACATCACTAAACTACGGCTACTACAGCACTGCCGCCGCATACCTACCGTACTGCGCTCGTCTTATACTACTATGGTACTACAGCGTTGGAGTAACACTACTACAATAATGCAGTGTTTCTTTTACTGCAGCAAGAACTAGAGTACTACCTCTGCGAATGCAACGCGGAAGTAGTGGTTACACATAGCCACGACTAGTCTGTTGGAGCAGTACTCCTGCATTACTACTGCGACAGCATTGCAAGTCTAGTGGATTGCCACAGTTCTGGATTCTTACAGTCGCAGTCCACTACGACAGCCCGAGCTCGAGTACCATGGCACAGTTTACAAATCTGGAGTACTATTATCTGTCCAGTGCTATTACATTACTGCCCATGCGCCACCAAAGCATTATTACGGCAGTATTGATATGCAGATCAGCATTGCTACTACGACTACTTGTAGTACGATTATTACTAATACTACTACTACTACTACTACTACTGCTACTACTACTATTACTACTACTACTACTACTACTACTACTACTACTACTACTACTATTACTAGTACTACTACTACTACGACGACTACTACTACTAGTGCCAGCCAGTACTAGGACTAGTATCACTATGACTACTGCACTGATACTACTACTTCTACGACTACTACTGCGACAACATCTCCGACTACGACTATTGTTATTTCTTCTACCACGAATACTGCTATTGCTACTACGACGGCTGCTGCTACTACTACCACGGGTAGTAATATTAACACACATTTCTATTACGTTGGGTGTAATACAATATGCAGGCGTTTAGTACTGCTACCTCACGAATGGACTACTGGGACGATAAAGCATTGAAGTACTTTTGCCACAGGGCTACAGGACTTCTTGCAACAGGCGATATGCAGGAGTAGCTGTACTACTACATCGCAAAAGTAACACTGCTATTCCAGTATCGCTACAGTGGTTTTCTCATGGTTTCTAAGTGCTACTACAGTGCTACTATGTCTGTGCTACAGTATTCGAGTGTTACTATCGTACATCAGTGGTACCATACGGGAGCACTGTTTCTGATATGGTATTATAGTATTACATCACCACTACTGCAGCCCGTACTCGAGTACTGCTACTACATTATATATACAATTGCGTGCAGGCATTTCTTCTACTGTTCGAAATACCCAACGGTATTATATCAGTATTCGTTCCATTGCTTTCATTATTACCAACACGACTCAGCATTAGGGGTGTGCCGTGAGCGAGCACTCGCGGTGGTCGATTGGTTACCACTGGGCGGACTTGGCGAAGGACCCAACCATATGCAGTTGTGAGCGCCGCAGTTGTAAATATCGTCGTCGGTGGAGAAGTCCCTATAGGCCCACGAAACGTGTGAGAGATGTGCCGAAATTGGTGCATAACTGCGCGCGACCCCTTCCAGCGGGGGCGTTTCGGTGGAGTTCATTACGGAGCCACGAAACGTGTGAGGGGTGCGCCAACATCGGGGTGGAACCGCATGCGAACAGTGCCGCTAGGGCCTTCGATGGAGAAGTTCCTTTTCATGCCACGAAATGTGTGAGGGGTGTGCCGACATGGAGATGGAGCCGCATGCGACAGGGGAAGTGATGTGGAGTTCTTCATTGGCCCACGAAGCGTGTGATGGGTATGCCGACATTGGTGGTGGAACCGTATGCGAACCTTGCCACTGGGGCCCTCCGTGGAGCTCCTTACGGGGCCACGAAACGTGCGAGGGCCTCCAGTGGAATTTCCTACATGCTTGCGCATGTTGGGGTTTTTGAAACAACATGTGCTGATATATGTTTTTGGACAACTGGACCGTGCTGTTGTACCGTTTTTGATAGGGTTGATGTTGGTGGGTGTAGGCATGGGTCCAGGTTTGCTGCCGGCCGCCTGGGGGAGGATTTTGTTTAATAGAGAGCAACGATAAGCCGGTTCCGGAAGGAGAAAGCGAAGATGGATGCGGAAACGCCAGAAACAATGCCCAGCGGGCTGGTGGGGTTACGTCAAGTCTCCCCCGCCCCGCCCGCTGGCCACGGCGGCGGCGGTGGTGGTGAGGGCCGCCGAAATCGCGGCGCACGGCTCGCCGCGCCCATGTGCCTTTCCGCCTTGAGTCCTCCCTCCTCCCCCACCCCCCATTCACCTTCCGCTCGCCCATCCCTTTTCATCCTCCCCCTCCCAGTCTCCCTCATCTCTCTCTCTAGTCTCTCTCTCCTCCATCCGCCCCCCTCCCGCACCTCTTCCCCCTCCCCCCCCCCCGTGTCCCCCTTCTCTCTATCTTTCCGCTCTGCCGGTCCCCCCCCGTCGTCCCAATCCTTTTTTTTCTCCTCCTTTTTCTCTTCTCTTCTCTTCTCTTCTCTTCTCTTCTCTTCTCTTCTCTTCTCTTCTCCTCCTCCTGCCCCTCCTCGTCCTCCCCCTCGTCGTCGTCCTCCTCCTCCTCCTCCTCCTCCTCCTCCTCCTCCTCCTCCGCCCGCCATTTCTGAGGAGGGGGGGGCCGGTGGCGTGCCTCCCTCGCTGCCCCCTGTGAGCACGCATGTGGCTTGGCATGGTCGAGGGTTCTCGGCCCGCGGGAGGGTGCCGAGGTCAGCGGGCCTCGGGCGGCGACGCGCCGCGGGAGCGGAGGAGAAGGTGGAATTTTGCAGTCGATCAAGCGGTGGTGAATCGTCATGGCTTGCCTACAGGACCACCAGATAATGTTCTGAAAACTTTGTGTGGTTTGCCCTTCGAGCATTTATGGTTTAGGTCCCTGTTGCAATACATCGGGTTTATCTTCCAAGCACATCGCTTTTGTTTCTAAAACATTCCCTTGTTCTAGAATCGTGGTAGACCTGTAGGAAAATGCCGGGACGGTCGGTCCCTGCTCAATCCTGGCGCCTCAGCAGCGGGATCCAACGGAATCTCCATCCACTTCACTGTCCACCTCTCCTCTCTCGCCCTTGGAGGAGGAAAGGTAGCCATACCGTTACCCTTCCCTCGTTTCCATTTTTTTTGTGGCCTCTTGGGGGGCTCTTGTCGCCGCCGTTGGATTGGCTTCGAAAGCACCCCGGGAAACATCCTGGGAGTAGCGGTATCGGTATTTGTTGGTTCCCCATTCTTCCGTCCGTTCTGGGCTTGCACATGCCGACTACGTTATGCGAAGAGTCCGCGACAGGGGGGGCGTTGGTGAATGTGCCCGAAGCGTCAGACTCTTCGGGCCCCCTCATCGGGCGAGGGCGGCAGCCATACCCATGGCCAATCCATTATTTGCGTTTCACCTGTTTCCAGGCCCTGGATTCCCCATCCAATGGTTTCTTACCCAATGCCTTCCTTCATCGCGCGTGACAGGCAAGACGCCGACATAAGAACCGCTTTGCGTTCGGAAGGGACTCGTTGTTCCCTTAAATCATCTCGTGGTTGTTCCTCTAGCCCTCCTCGTGTATCCAGAATCCTTTTGGTGCCAGGTTCGTTTCTTTTTCCAACGTTCCATTTTTTTCCAGCAGCTGGACTGCACGCGCAGTGTCTGCCGCATCCTTGTGCGCACAGGCCCCCTGGTGGACAGACCCTCCTGAAGCCGCGTGCCCGTTTCCCCGTCCGCCTTCCAGCCAAGTCCTCTCTGGCGGCGACGGCGGCGGGCGCGAGGCCGCGAGCAGCGCGAGCAGCGCGGCGGCGATTGCCGCGGCCTCCGAGGAAGCGGCGTTGCTGCGGGATCAGCTGATGTCGGCGCACCAGGCCTACCAGGAGAACCCCCCCCCGAGGATCGGAGGAGAAAATGGTACCGCTACCTTTCCCTCTTTTTCCCCTTTGCGGGCTTCTTGTGAGGTCCTCGTCGCCACGGCTGGATTCGCTTGGAAATCTTTGTCAGAACGCACCCCGGGAGAGGTTCCAGGAGCATTTGTAGCGGTACCTTGTGGTTTCCCCAGAGGACCCTTAGTTGGTGTTATTTAATCGCTTCGCTCATTCCGCCGGCCCGTATTGTGCCATCGCAGGCGTTTGCTTGCGCGTTCGTGGCCTCTTGGAGCCTCGGTGGGGCCGTTTGGGGCCTCTTGGCGCCTCTTTTTAGGCCTCTTGGAGAACTCGGGAGGCCTCCAGGGGGCCTCCTGAGCTCTCGTGACGGTCTCTTGGGGGGCTTTCGGCGGGCTCTTGGCGGTATTTGTTGGTCCTCTTGGGGCCTGGGGCCTGACGTTGTTGGTCCTCTTGGGGCCTCACGGGAGCTTATTGGGGCGTCTTGGGGGTGTCTTGGAGAGTCTCTTGGGGCCTCTTTCGGGGTCCTGGGCGCCTTCTGGGGCGGAGGGCTCGATTTTTCAGTTCTCGGTTCCCTTCTTGAGCCCCTCTTGGGCCCGTCTTGGGGCCTCTTGGTCCGCCTTGGGCAGCACTTGGGCCGTCTGGGGGGCGCTCTTGGGCCGCTCCGGGGCCGTCTTGGGAGCCTCGTGGGCCGTCTTGGAGCAGTCTTGAAGGCCTCTTGGGCCCTCTTGGAGCGTCCGGAAGCGAAAAGGCCAGAACGCAAAAAAACATAGAAAAAACCAATGAAAATCAATGATTTTGGCAACTTGGGGCCCTCTTCGGAGGCCTCTTGGAAGGCCCTTGGAGCGTCTTGGAGGCCTCTTGGGCTGTCTTGGGGCCATCTGGGGCGCCTTCGGGCGATCTTTGGCCGCCTCGGGCCTCTCTTGGACCGTCTAGAAAGCTTCTCGGGGCCCTCTTGGACCGATCTGGAGCCCTCTTGGACTCCGAAGCAGAACTCCGGCATCTCTGACCCGACCTTGCCGGGACCTTGCCGGGGTACTTTTCGTCCGGGGACCCCCAGGGGCCGCCCCGCGCGCGCGAACTAGAAATACTGATAACCAGGTACCGGAGATCTTAGCACGCCCTGGCCCGTTGGGCCGGCGAATTCGGCCCGCGCGTTCGGGAATGATTGTTTAACACGCGATGATTTTAGGTTTCTTTGTGGGGGCTTTCTTTTCCGCGTTTCTTCGTGTGATTCTGTTGTGGCGCACTACAAAAGAATTTCCCCTGCTGTCTTTACACTGGATGCCTTGCTTGGCGGATTGCAAAAGGATTTGTTGGGTGGCGGATTACGCAATGATTCGTTTTGTCGGGGCTTTGCAAGCGGGTTTAGTTGGCGGGGGTGCGTTTGAGAAACCAAGAAGAGAACAAACACGCAAAACATAAAAACATCCGAAACGTGCAGTGTGATGATGTGCGTTTGTGGCGTCAAGTATTGTGAACAACTAAGGCAACGCCGCTTCTTCAGCATCCAGAGTTCTAGCGTGCCGTGTTTGACAGTTTTGATACATCCCGATGCCGAAGACGTTGTCAACACACAGTGCTTTCAACAATCATGACAACAAGCTACATGTTCGACATAGCGGTGTTTGCTTCCGAAGACAGGCCATCTATGTAAAGCACCGCAGTTGTTTCCATTTCTCCTTGTTGAAAGCGTTGTGCTTCCTAATGTCTCTAGCACCGAGAGGTATAGCAGCATTGCCAATCACAGCGTTTTTGATATGTTGATGCTAGGAACGCTGCGTTTGAACATTGTCCGCTGTACCGGACACCCAAAGCGTTGCCCACGCAGTAGTGTTTCTTGTTCTCTTTGAATTTGATTGTGTTGTTGTTTCGTTCGCCCTTCGGTTTCCTCCACCTTGCGCCACGCAAGGAACTCGATGCCGCCACACAAGGAATATGTGTGTAATTCACCACAAGCGCAATCAACTGGCAACACACCACGAAAAAAATGTTTTGCCATCCGCCAAGATTTCTTTGGCCATCCGCCACAGCCCACAACATGCGCAAACCGCCTAAATTTTCGAACGCGACGCCCCGGCAGTGCTGCGTCAAGTCGTCTCTGCCATGCGTCCGTCTACAATTATTATTGGCGCGGCTGCATGCGTCGCATGGTAGCCAATATTCCACAGCGCGTTGATTGAACACCTTCGGCGCAGCCGTTGCAATGGCAGGCCAGAGCGCGTAGCGCGAAGCGTTTGAACTGAGGTAGTGTCGCTTCTGGTTCGCGTCGCCCAGCATCGCGCAGCGCGCGCCGCTGCAGTGCGCGTTTACCACTTGACGCAGACATCGCGCGTCGACCGTGGTCGTCTGCAAACTCCACATCGCAGCGGTCATTGCGCCGCGCTGTCTCGAGGCATTTTGGGGCCAGGTCGAAGTTGACAGCATTGCGCGCGCGATCGTTTTTTTGTGTTACGCTCCGTTTGCGCAGTTGCGTCCCCCACACCCCACAAACCCAATCGCGCCAAGCTTGGCGCTGGATTGAGGAGGAGGGGGGGGGGGTGAACTGGGAGGAGCGAGGAGGGGGGGCGAGGCGGGGGGGGGGGAGGAGGAGGAGGAGGAGGAGGAGGAGGAGGAGGAGGAGGAGGAGGAGGAGGAGGAGGAGAGAGGAGGAGGGAGGACGAGGACGAGGACGAGGACGAGGACGAGGACGAGGACGACGAGGAGGACGAGGACGAGACGAGGAGGACGAGGAGGACGAGGACGAGGACGAGGACGAGGACTTCGGGCCCCCTGTGGCTTCCGAGGCCTTGCGATGAGGAGGCCTTGGCGCCGCGGCGCGCCCCCTTGGAAATCCGGGGGCGACTTGGGGCCGAGGGCGCCCTGGCAGCGCCCGAACGGGGAGGGGCAGAACGAATGCCGCGCGCGCTTGCGTGCGCCCACCTCCCCGACCGACAGACGCCGCTCCGACGCCGCTCCGACCGCCCCCCCCCCCCCCCGCAGGAGGGCGACCAGGGCCCCGCCGCAATGCGCGCAAGGATTCGCCCGCGACGCGCTAACGGCAACAGGTCTGGGAGGAGCGCGAACGCGGGCAGCTGGGCGCGCGGGCGCGACGGGTGTCCCGGCGCCGCGCCTCTCCACGAATGGCATTGTGGGCGCCACCCCAAGGACATGTTCATCTCGCCGCCCCAGCAGCCCCGACCCCGGGTCAGACGCGCGCGGCGTTCACCGCGCGGCGAATGAGTCTTTCTGTTCAGCCCGGTCGACCTCTGGAACGCGCGCCCAGGGGGCGCTGGGGAAATCCTGGCTCGGGAGGGCGCCCAGGCCCATCGTGAGAACCCGCCCGAGAGGGCGTGGCACATGCCGTCGCCGCCCACCTCCAGCCCGCCCCTCGACCCTTTTCATTTTCCCATGCGCCAGACGCGGGAGCCACGCGCGAACAGACCGTCTGGCGGCCTCGGGGGGCGCCACACACTAAGAATCTTTTATTCCCTCAGCAGATTGGACAGGGGCCCCATCGGCATTGTAACAGCCAGCCTCTCTGCATCACAATGCTAAACATGTCCCGCCCGCGTGCAGTGCCATGCCGTGCCCGCGTGCCGTGCGATGTCTGCGTTCTAGAATGCCAAAAGCATGATACCCGCGTGCCGTGACGTGCCCGCGTTCTAGAATGCGAGCAAGCGTAGCCCCCGCGTCGCGTACCGTGCCGTGCCGTGCCCGCGTGCCGCGCCCGCGTGCCGCGCCCGCGTGCCGCGCTCGCGTTTTAGGATGCGAAGCGTGTTCCCACTGGTTTCGTGCCATGTCAGCGATCCACATTGCGACGAATATGCCGCTCGCGTGCCGTGCCGTGCTCGCGAGCCATGCTGTGCCCGCGCTCGAGCGCGGCAGATGGGCCGCACGCGCGCCATGCAGAGCCGTGCCGCGCCCGCGTGCCGCACGCGCGTAGTTGGAGCAGACGCCCCCCAAGCAGCCTGTTTCTTTGTTTTTCGTTATGGATGTTTCGGCGGCTGCGGGTGCAAGCCGGAGCCTGCGCTACCACTCTGAACCAGCAGCGGTGGTCGAGACATGCCAAGCGGAGAGCCGTGGTGTCGCGCCCGCGCTGCAGCACGCGAGGAGTTTGCCGATCGCGTGCCGTGCCGTGCCGTGCCCGCTTGCCGTGCCGTGCCCGTGAGCTGGGGTGCGAAAGATGTGCCGCTCGCGCACCGTGCCACGTGGTGCCTGCGTGCCGTGCCGCGCCACCGTGCTGGCGTGCCGTGTCCGCGCTCTGGAGTGTGCAAGCTTTGCCACTCGCTTTCCGTACCGTGCCTGTGCCGCGCGCGTGTGCAGTGCTGTGCACGTGTGTGCGCGCGCCGTGCCGTGCCATGTCCGCGTGCCGTGTTGTGCCCGCGTGCCATGCAATGCACTCGCATTTCGATGTTGATTTGCCATGTGTCTTCTGATGTAGATTTGGTGTGTAGGGTCTCCAAACATACGTAATGGTTGAGTCTGCTGTGAGCCTTTTTCATGTGTCGGCGAGGTTGTAGCGAAGAGGTTTTGTTTGGGCCCCCATGGAGCCGATCTTGGAGGCCAAGAATAGCCCAACAGGGGGCAACATGGATCAAGTATAGGTACCGACATCGTGTTGGAATTACTATGACATTCGAGCTTGTTTTGGACGCTGTCTTGGAGCCGTCTTAGGCTCGTAGAAAGAAGTGAGCGCAGTGGGCGACGGAACGGCGCAGCCTGTTTGGGTGAGAACCGGGGCTCAGCTCTTGAAAGATATGATCGAAATTCAGTTCCACACGCCCCTCAGCCTGACGGGCGGGCGGATTGCAGAGGCTTACGCCACGCCCCGCCACCGATGGCCTCAAAGAAGAGTGACGGGGCAGGATGACATATCTGTACGAAACATTGAGCTGTATGGCAAGCCGTCTCAGTCCCAGGATGCCGTGCTGGGAGAGGGGTGAATCTACGACGGGGCTGTTTCGGAGCCTTCTTGAGGCACTCGTGGGCTCTGTTGAAGGCCCGCTTGAGAGCTTCTGTGTCAGGACATTGGATACACATGCGGCTAGCCTGGGCGAGGGCTGGATGCACATGTGGCCGCATGTCTTCCCAGCGCTCGTCCCTCGTGTGGCCCGGAACGCCAGCCGTCCGCGTGCGTATTCAGCAGGTGGGCGGCTCCACATGTTCCGCATGTGCGTCCAGCGACGTGCGTCTCCGTGTTCCTGCCCCATTTTGTTGACCTCCTTGGAGGGCTTCGGAGGGAGGGTGTCAGTCTGCGAGCTGCTTTAGGGCGTCGAGGGGCAGTCTTGGAGCAGTCCTGGGCCAGATCGGAGCCGTCTTGGAGGCCAATCGGGGGCCCCGGGGCCATCTTGGTGTCATACTTGGCCGTGCTGGATGCGTGTTGGGGCCATCTGAGAGGGTGTTTGGGCCTCGGTGACTCTTTTGGAGCCTTCTGGGCCCACCGTGGGGCCAACTTGGGCCTTCCAAGCGGGAAGTGCCAACATGATTCAAAACTTGAAGGGTTGTTCTGGACGGACGGGGTCATTTTGGAGTCTCTTTGGGTAGATCGGGAGCCTATCGTGGTCCATGCATGGGGCCATGCTGGGTGGTTCAGAGATTGCCACGAGAAATCTAGAGAGTCTCCAGGGCCCCGGGAACAACCCGGCTTCTGAGAAGCCAGGAAGGGTCTCGAGGGGCTCGCCCCCCCGCCCGTGGCACGCCACCTTCAAACAAGATGTTGGACTTTTGGGATCGCAGGCGAGTTTTCCCCCCAACTCCCGAGTTCCGCACGAAAAGGTTGGCCTCTGAGGAAAAGGGGGGAACCTTCGGATACACCCCAAGGGGGCTACTCGGACGCACCCCTATCGAGGATGGACGCCCCCCCATTGTATATCCCAGGGTTTGGCCCAAAATTCCTGGTCCATTCGAAAACCCCCACGAAGCCTGGGATAGGGGTCGACATATCCCGTGCTATGGGAGGGGGGGGGAACAGGAGGATGGCTCCGCGAGAGGAGGAGGATGAGGAGGACGAGCAGGAGGAGGATAAAGAGAAAGAGAAGGAGGAGGAGGAGGTGCGTGCATGTGCGGACGATCTTTGTTCGGTAATCGTATCGCTTGAAGTACTCCCGAAGATCAAGCGCATCTTCGACAATGCGAAAGCCCTCGCCAACCTCTGTCTCAAGTTAGCGAAGTGCCAGTTCTTGCCTCTTGCGGGACCGATCACACCTGACCTGATCCAGCTTTACCGTGAGAAGGCCGAAGCTCTTGTGCCCGAGTGGGGACAGTTATCTATTGTGACTATGATCAAATATCTGGGGATGTGGATCGGACCCGACTATGAGGCACAATCCTGGAAGGCCCCGATCTCCAAGTGGCGCACGCGCGGGAGTCTGCTGGCAGTTACCAATTCCCCCCATTTCTACTACTTCCATGTTGTACTCCTCTCGTGTTGCTTCGACCCTCTCGTATGTTGCGCAGTTCATCCCCCTCCCACCTCGCATCGACCACGACGAATCTGTGCTGCTGGCCCGAATATTCTACCTACCTTTCTGTGGCTTGGCGAGAGCCTCGTTCTTCTCGTGGTCCGCTTGGGGAGGACCAAAGATCCCATCCTTGCAGGCAGTGGCACTTGCTGCCCGAACAAGAGCTGCGTGGGATACATACGATTGGGAACCGAGCTATCAGCGTCTGCTCTGTGCCTCTGAAGAACACCGTGGTCTCGGATACACTATCTCGGGTCAGCTCTCTCCTGAATACTGGTCATCCCCCGCCATATGTCAACACATGTATGTAGCACGTAACGGACACCTTGATCACCCTTTTCACCTTCTCCTTCTCCAACATCTGACTGAATGCGCCTCCATGCAAGTAGAGAGCCCCCGTCGCGAGAAGTTTAAATCCCAACGATTTTTAACCCGTGCGTTTTCCCAGACGTTGCACCCCGACCCAAACCGCTCGCTCCTCGATGGTCGTCATCGGAGCTGGTTCCCTGGGTGTGGCCCGCGTCTCGATTTGATCCCTTGGGCAGAGGTGCAGCGTGTAGCCTCCAAGCTGAAGCCGGCCCTGGCCTCCGCTTGGTTTCGCACGGTTTCTAAGAATAGGCTCGCCCAGTGCCGATTCCAGAAGTCTATAGCCGAAGATGCGTGCTGTAAACCAGGCTGCTCCCGACAATCAGGTGGCGAAGACCACGTTCACCACTGCTGGTGCTGCATCCCGTTCAATGCCCTCGTTGCCAAGTCGCTGGGGCTTCGTGTCCTTCCTTGGGACCCTCTGGACCGCCTTGGGGTGCTGGATCCGTCTCGCAAGTCCTGCGAGATTCCCATCGCCGCTTATTTCCTGTACAATGCGGTTCGTGCGAAGCACTCCATTTTGGGCCGCCCTCTCAGACGGGAGGAGGCTTTGGAGCTGGTGCCTGTCGTCGCCTTAGCCGTGGGGCGGTAGGGCGCGGGCGAAGGAGAGACCGAGCGCCTCGGCCACGCGGCAGGAGGAGGAGGAAGACCTCCCCATCCTCTTTTCTCCCCCGTCCTACCCATGGTGGTGGTGGTGGAACATTGGCCCATTGGCCCATCACATTGGATTCCTAGAAGGGAAAGGGGGAAACAGGAGGACGGCTCCGCCGGAGGAGGCGCAGCAGGCCTTGGAGCAGTTGGCCACGGGCAAAGCGGAGCTCGAGGACCGGCGCCGAGCGCCGCCGACGTTGCGGTCATCGCGGTCGTCGTCGTGGTCGTGGTGGTCGTTGTGGTCATCGTCATTGCGATCGTGGTGGTAGTCGTGGTCGTGCTGGTCGTCGTCGCGGTCGTCGTCGTAGTCGTCGTGGTCGTCGTCGTCGTCGTCGTTGTCGTCGTGGTCGTCGTCTGGAGAGAATAGACGGCCTGCCTCCTCGGACGCTCTAGGGCGGTCCCCGACTTGCGCAAGAGGAACCAAAGCGGCCCGACGGCGGCCCCATGATGCCCTGGGAGGTCCCGAGGTGGCTCCACTTGTTCTGTTCACTCGCATTCCAATAAGCACCCAAAGCAATGATTCCTTGCGCTCCATGTGATGCAAAGTATGTGGTGGAAGGCATATGGTGCAATCTAGGCTTGTTTGTGGTGGATGCTATGTTGTTCGAGCTAGATGGTGCAATCCATGCTGGTGGACTCCTATGTGGCACAATAACCATGCGCAAGTGGATGTCGTGAACTCCAACGGTTGCAATCAGCCCCAATGCTTCAATCCATATCCCACCGGCTCACCCGCACTTTTTTGGCAACTCTCAGACAGTCAATTGGCGTAATGACGCGAGGACCCTTTTCATGCAGATCCTCGACTCGGGTTGGCGTGTGATGATGATGATGGTGGCGCTGATGACAAGGTCAACGACAACGTCAATGACGATGGCGATAATGATGCTGATAACGTCGGTGAGGATGCTGACGGCGACGATCGTGATATCGATGGTGACGGGTGGCGGTGATGACGACGCCGACCATGATGACAACGCTGGCGTTGATCAGGACGATCAGGGAGTGTGCGCGCAAATGTTCAGGAAACTGTTCAGGAATATGATGTGTATGTTATGTTTCAATGCTTAAAGTACCTGTGGTTCGGGAATTGATTCGTCGTTCGCGGGCGGAGATTCGTGCGTGTGGCCCGCGTTGCATTACTTGATAGAGTTGGTGTGTACGCGATGAATGTTGAATGAGTTCGACATGCGCGCGCGTGGGGTCCACGTGGCTTCCTTTGGCGGAGTCGCAAAGCAACCTTTGGCTGTTGTGTGATTCCAGCGAGTGCGCACGAACACTAGATGTTGCATTCTTTATTTGACAACCACGTTTTTTTTTTCCAAAAAAAAACAACAAAAATATTTAAATAGCATGTACACATCGTTGAGAACCAACGGTTTTGGAAAAGGGCCCCGACATGTGCTCACGCACGTAACCCTCATAGTATTATCGGATACGGTGTCGGACGAAACGTCTGTGCACAATCAGTGCGTGTGCACCGCAAGCTGTTCTCCGACAGAGATTGGGGGGCGATAGTGGCCTGGCTGACGTGGGTATGTTAGTTTTCGGAATCAGCGGTGCTGGGCGCTCGAACGCCCGTGCGCCATCTTTCGGATGTTTTGTTTTCGTTGGCGAGCGTCTGCGCCCAACCGCTTTCACCCACACGCGTTCCCCAAGCTGTTGTGGCTTTCTGTCGCGCTTCCTCTTTGTTCGCTCCCCCTTTCCCGCTCCCGCCCCCGTCTTGATAGGATTGGGGTTGTTTTCCAGCTGCCGCTTCGCCGCATGGGCTCTTACTGAGTAGGCACTGTGCGTCATCTTTTATAGAGTCGTTGAAGGGGTTTGGTGCACACACACACACAGCCACTGTCCGTTTTCGGCTTCTCGTCATCCTCCTCCTCCTCCTCCTCCTCCTCCTCCTCCTCCTCCTCCTCCTCCCCTTTGACTCCTCGGGCCTGCGGCCGGCGAAGGGAGGGGAAACGCATTGCTTTTGAGCTTGAGCCCTGCCGGACCGTGGACCCACAGCATAGCATAGGCTGTTGCCGTAGTAGCTGCCGCAGTGCCTGGGCATGATGTGGTCGCCGCGAGAATGCTCGTAGAGACGGAAGTGTGCCTCCACCAGGAGGTGAACACTGAGCGATCGAGGGGAACAACAAAAACATATAAATAAAAATGAGAACGCAATGCGCGAAGGCGAGCGGAGAAAATTGGTCTCGGCAGGGGGGTAGTCCGTTTTGGGTAGAGGATTCTACGTGGTGCAACTGATGTGGTGCAAGTTCACTTCGACCGTCTTGAAGTCGTCAATTCCATTGCTCGTGCAAGCATCTCGCCCGCCCACCCGCAATCCGTTTGGCAACACACTTCGGCCACTGCTGCGGTTCCTGGCTGGCACTTGCCAGCGCGTTGTTGCGACCGCCCTGGCGCGGGCACGCCCGCACGCAGAGCGACCAGCTGGTTTGACGCAGTTGATGCGGCCGCGATGGCGCTTATTGGTGGGAGTTCCTAAGCGCACCTCAAGGGCCGTAGCCGGGCTGGCGCGCGGGCACTTCAGTTCGGGTCGGCGAGACGGGCAGGCGCAATCTCATGATCACATTGGCGCGGCGGCAGCGATGATGATACTAGCGATGGTGGTTGTGAAGACGACGAGGACAACGGCAAGTCCAATGACGGCGCCGAGGCTGTCGACGACGATGACGGTGATGATGTCCATGTGTCGCTGGTGCAAGAAATTTGTGTCAAAAGCGGCGGCTGGCACGTTAGCGGCGGTGCTGCGATGACGCTGATAGTGGTTGACGAGTGACGAGGAAGCACGCGCGCACAGCAAATTAAGAACCTGGGTCAATTCTATGTTGACAAGCTGTTGTTTTTCCTAGCCATATTGTAGGACTGTCGCTGTGGAGGGACAGCGCCCCGCTTTCCTTCCTTCTCCTCCTCCCACCCCCGTGGCGGTGCCACATGCGCCCGCGCCACGAGTTGCGTCACACCCTTCACACGTTTCGTGGTCCAGCGGGGGGCTCCACCAGAGGCCCCACTGGCGGTGCCCACATGCGCCCGCGCCACCCATTCCGGTTCACCCTTCACACGATTCGTGGCCCCATAGGGACCTTCACCGACGGCCCCAGCGGCGCAGCCCGCATGCGTCCGCGCCGCCCATTTCGGCATACACTTCACACGCTTAGTGGCCCCGTAGGGAGCTCCACCGAAGGTCCCGGTGGCGGTGCTCACGCGTCCGCGCCACCAATTCCGGTTCATCTTTCACACGCTTCGTGGCCCCAGAGGACGCTCCACCGAAGACCCCAGTGGCGGTGCTCACATGCGTCCGCGCAACATTCTTCGGCACACCTCTCACACGTTGCGTGGCCCCACAGGACGTTCCACCGAAGGCCCCAATGGCGGTGCCCACATGCGTCCGCGCCATCCATGTCGGCACACCCGTCAAACGTTTCGTGGCCCCATAGGGAGCCCCACCGAAGGCCCCGGTTGCGGCGCTCTCGTGCTTCCGCGGAACCCATGCCGGCGCAACCCTCAAACGTTTCGTGGCCCCATAGGAAGCTCCATCGAAGGTCCCGGCGGCGGTGCTCACATGCGTCCGCGCCACACATGTCGGGACACCCCACACAAGCTCCGTGGCACTGCAGGGGGCTCCATCAGAAGCCCCAGTGGCGATGCCCACATGAGTCCGCGCCACCCGTGTCGGCATCGCCCTCACACGCTTCGTGGCCCCATAGGGAGCCCCACCGGCGGCCCCAGTGGCGGTGCCCACGTGCGTCCGCGCCACACATGTCGGCACACCCCTCTGACGCTTCCTGGCGTCGTATGGAGCTTTTCCGAAAGCCTCAGTGGCGGTGCCCACATGCGCCCGCACCACCCATGCCACACCCTTCACACGTTTCGTGGCCCCGTAGGGACCCAGTGGTGCAGCCCACATGTGCTCGCGCCACCCATGTCGGCACACCCCTCACACGCTTCGTGGCCCCAGAGGACGCTCCACCGAAGGCCCCAGTGGCGGTGCTCACATGCGTCCGCGCAAGATTCTTCGGCACACCCCTCACACGTCTCGTGGCCGTTCAGGGAGCTCCACCGAAGGCCCCAGCGGCGGTGCTCACATGCGTACGCGCCACACATGTCGGCACATCCCTCACAAGCCTCGTGGCCCTATGGGAAGTGTCATCGAAGCTCCCGGTGGCGCACCCCGCATGCGTCCGCGCCACCCATTTCGGCACATCCCTCACACGTTCCGTGGCCCCACAGGACGCTCCACCGAAGACCCCAGTGGCGGTGCCCACATGCGTCCGCGCCACACATGTCGGCACACCACTCACGTTTTTGGTGCCACAGTGAGCTCCACCGAAGTTGATACTCACAACAGCATGTGGTTGGGTCCTTCGCCAGGTTATTTTTCATATCTTTTGGGAGAGCGATACCTTGACATGCTTCAAGAGTCTGTTGTTTTTGAAGGATTTCGACGCGCGCGTGGCGGCGCACGCATGTGGCCCGCATGGTGTTGCTTTGGTACGAATGTGTGCACTGGCCGCACGCTACACGCGGGCGCGCCGCGTGGCAAGGTGAGGTGAAGGACTTGTGTTTGATCTGAGTTTGACATGTACACGCGCGCGTGGTGTTTGCGGCACATCTCACACCGGGTACTTGTAACTCAAGGTGAACATTTGTGCGCGCATGGCACTCTGTGACGGGGTCGGCGTGGGGGGAGCGATCCCGGCTCGGCTGGGATGATATGGTATGGAATATCTTGCACGGGCGATTGTGCAGAGTACATACACCAAGCAGATTATCGCAAGGAAAACCGTAAATTTCTGCGGATTCCAAATTCTTTTCAAGAGAATCAAGAATCTGGACTGGACCCTGGGCGTTTTCTTGGAGCTCTCACTTCGTGGAACGTGCGTGAATTTGCTGGACCTGGACAACTGTTCAAGAAAGCGCTCGGAGCGAAGCCAAATTTCCTAGCGTAAGTTGTCTTGAACTCTAAGCATGGGTGCATGCGCGCGCGAAGAAATGCCCCATGGGGGGCAGTTAAACCCGGGCGCGGGAGGTCGAGCCCACTCTTCTTTCGAGCGGGGGGCCACCGCGCGACGCGGCATCGGGAGGCGGTGTCGGAGACCCCGCCGCGCGAGACCTGGAATTCGCGAGCAGCCTGCGGGGCGCCGGCGAGGCCGCGGCGGGCGCCCGCGGCAGA